TAAACGATATTCAAGCATAAATGTCAACAATAAGTCATGTAATATTGCTAAATACATATTAGAAAATTCACTTATCAAACCTTAATTGCAGGATACAGCTAATTAAACCAGTGAATGTGACAGTAGCAGGTGGGGAGAAATTGGTGAGTATTGTTGTCTGCAACCCGTTAACTTGAAGGATACAGGATGTGGAATTTCAATACCAGTTTAGAGTCCTCAAGTTGGGAAGAAGTGACATGGTTCTAGGGGTTGATTGGTTGAGCCAGTTCAACGCTGTGCTTTTTGATTTCTGCAAGGAAAGCATAACCTTCACTCATAAAAGCGCCCAGATGGAACTAAGTAAAGAGGTTGTGAATAAAGAGTGCATATGATGACAAAAGGGGAAGAAAAGAACTGGTTCAAGGGGCAAATGTATGGGGTGATAGCTCAAATTAGCTCAAGTACTGACAAGGAACCAGAAATAATACCAACTGAAATTCAGGTAGTGATAGATAAGTTCTCCACGGTTTTCTCAGAGCCAAAAGGCTTACCTCCACTCAGGTTTAACGACCATCAAATACCGATTAAAGAAGGAGCACAACCCTTTAAACTGAGGCCATATAGGTGCCCCTACATACAAAAGACTGAGATCGAAAGGCTGGTTAAAGAGATGAAGGAGAGTGGGATAATCCAGCCAAGCTCCAGCCCTTATCCATCTCATGTCTTGCTGGTTAAGAAAAATGATGGTACTTGGAGGTTTTGTGTAGACTATCGGAAGCTCAATAGGCTTACCATTAAGGATAAGTATCCTATGCCCCTGATTGATGAGTTAAAGGGAGCAAAATGGTTTATTAAGATAGACTTGAGAGTAGGGTACCACCAAATCAGAGTTGCTAAAGAAGACATTCACAAAACAGCCTTTAAGACACATGAGGGACTCTATGAATTCAGAGTAATGCCTTTTGGACTCACAAATGCCCCTGCCACTTTCCAATGCCTGGTGAATGAGGTTTTCAAGGGACAACTTAGGAAATATGTATTGGTCTTCTTTGATGATATATTGGTCTACAGCAAGGATTTGGAAACCCACCGCAAACATGTGACTGATGTCCTAAAGTTGCTGAAGGAACACCAACTCTATGCTAAGAGAAGTAAATGTTCGTTTGGCCAGTCCAAGACAGAATACTTGGGGCATATTATCACAGCTGAGAGAGTGTCTGCAGAACCCTCCAAAATTACTGCTATGCAAAAGTGGCCTACACCTTCGAATGTCAAACAATTAAGAAGTTTCTTGGGGCTTACAGGCTATTATAGGAGGTTTGTGAGGGGATATGGGGCTATGGCCAGGCCTCTAACTGATCTGTTGAAAAAAAGAGAAGTTTCAATGGAATGAAGCAGCTGATCAGACTTTCTAAGAATTAAAGCGTGATATGAGTGCTATTCCTATATTAGCCTCCCAGATTTTACCATTCCCTCTGTGATAGAAACTGATGCATGTCATGGTGGAATGGGGGCTGTTCTAATGCAGGATAGACGACCTTTTGCCTTCCTAATTAAAGGGTTCAATAGTATCAACTTTGGCCTGTCCATGTATGAGAATGAACTCCTAGCACTTGTGACAGCAGTTGGGAAATGGAGACATTACCTAGAGGGCTATCACTTCATCATAAAACTGATCATCAATCCCTTAAGTATTTGTTGGAGCGAAGAATTACAATACCAATGCAGCAGAAATGGTTAATATGTCTTAGCTATGAGATTCAATATAAAAAGGGGATATACAACAAGGTAGCAGATGTCATATCCAGAAGAGAGAATAATGAAGAGGCTGAGTGTTCTGCCATCATAACCTTAACACCAGCTTGGATCCAGGAGTGATCACAAGTTACCAAGGAGATGAGGAGGCTTGGAGCAGAATCACTGCTTTGCTCCTTGATGAAAAATCAGAACCTAATCACACCTACAAGGATGGGTTGCTTAAGTATAAGTCCAGGATTTATTGGCTCTGAATCAGGTGTGAGGAAGAAACTAGTTGAGGCTATACACTCATCTCAAGAAGGAGGTCACTCTAGGGTTCAAGCCAACATTCGCAGGGCAAAAACTCATTTTTTTTTTTTGTCTAGAATGGTGAAGGAAATCAAACAAGAGATTCTAGAATGTGACATATGTTAAAGGTGTAAAGGAGAGCATGTTGCCTATCCTGGCTTGCTACAACCATTGCCAGAACCGCAATATCCTTGGAGCTACATCTCCATGAACTTTATTGAGGAACTGCCTAGTTCTAAAGCCAAGAATGCCATCTTTGTGGTGGTAGATAGGTTCACCAACTATGGCCATTTCCTATCTCTAACACACCCCTTCTCAGCTACCAATGTTGCAAAGCTATTCCTAAATTACATCTTCAAGCTTCATGGGATGCCACGGAGCATCAATTCAAACAGAGACAGGATTTTCACAAGTGCATTTTGGCAAGAATTGTTTAAACAGCTGGGAACTAAATTACAACCGACCTCTGCATATCATCCCAAAATGGATGGCCAGACGAAGAGATTGAATCGGTGCCTTGAAATGTACCTTCAATGCTTAGCTCACCAGCATCCCAAGTAGTGGAATAGGTGAATGAGTATGGCAGAGTTGTGGTACAGTACCACCCTCCACACCTCTATTAAAATGACCCCATTTGAGGCTCTTTATAGAATCAAACCTTCTCAATTGGCGTTAGGCCCATACCAATAGATCAACGTGGCAGCAGTGGATGAATTACTTCAAGAAAGACACAAGATGGACCAAATCCTCAGAGAAAATCTGGCATAAGCCAAAGCCCCAATGAAGTTGTATGTTGATATACATCTAAGTGAAATTGAGTTTCAGCTGGGAAACTACGTATACCTTAAACTACATCCCTTTGCTCAACAACCTGTAGCTAGGAGAGTTAACAGGAAGTTGGCTGCTAAATACTATGGCCCTTAAAGAATAATCCAGAAGCTGGGAAAAGTTGCGTACGAGTTAGAATTACCTGCTAAAGCTCAAATTCATCGTGTCTTTCATGTATAGTTATTGAAGAAGAAAAATGGGAAGGAGGTCCCAGTTTTTTAATTACCAGAGCTAAAAAGGAGCACTAGTCCTCCATCGTCTGAACCTTGGGGACAAGGTTGGTCTAAGAGGGAGGGATGTTACGAAGAGAATAAAGAGGACTATTGGAGATGGCCGCAAAAGAAGAAGAGAAGCAGTAGACGCAAACCAAGAGGAAAAGAAGAAGAAAAAGAATAACAGTCACAACCAAAATTCAAATGGAAAACGGTGTCGTTTCGAGCTAGGGATTAAAGTGTCGTTTTTAATAATTAGTGGTGTCGTTTTGATTTGTAATCAACTTCAAATATTAGTCATGTTTTCCTTCTCTCATTCACATTTTTCTTTCTTGCTGGTTAGTTATATAGTTGTAAATGTGAGGAGTAGAAAGTGATGTGAATTGGAATTCTTCTTCTCCAAGTCTTCTTCTACTTCCTTCTCTTTCTCTCTCCATCTCTCTGTAATTTCTTCTACGGTTAACTTTCACTTCAGAAATAATAAAATTGCAATTGTTATTTGAGTTGATTGATTCAGTTAGTGAGCAATTAGTGTGGTGTTTAGTATCAACCATTACATACATGTCTAATCCCACAAAATAGAATGAATATCTTTCTTCTCAAATGCCACCAGATAGGTCAGTGAAAGCACTACATGCATAGAATTAAGTATAGATAGAAGCATAACAGCAGAGGCATGCCAAAAAGGAAATATTTAGCGCATGAATTTTATCAATTTTCCAAATATTAATTTGGATTACATTTGAGACCGAATGTAGTTGAATTTACTCGTGAGATACAATAGATCGATAACAACGAATGCAATAAGGACAACAATGATATGAAAACTTAGGCTTCAGCAAGTAATATTGAGAAGGAAAGCTTTTTCTAGTATACAATGCCCACAATTACAAGTGCCAAATTGAAATTTGGATTGCAAAGAAGATTTGCCATGTTGTATCAGTTTTAGCACCAAAAAATCATTCAGGTTCCATAGATGCTTTATCTTTTTAATCGTCCCAATGAAAAGAAGAGAGATGGAAACAGTTGTATAAATGAAGTATCTACGTGTTTGTAGGTAAGACTACATAAAAATAAATAACAAGATCATCAGCAACTTTTAACATAATTGGAATCAGTAAAATCCAAAACAGCAGTAAGGGAGAAGATTACGATAACAAAAAAGTCCACAGATTTCTCTATAAATTTGTCTCCATTTAGCGGCTCCATAAGCAATAATACACGGTTTAAACCTAGAATTGAATATATGGTACATATGAATGACCATAGTATTCGACTACTTGAAATAAAAGCTTAAGTGGTCGGAGAGGACCACATATATATCATTCAAATCTAATTTTCAACATGCTCCCTCATGGCAAGGGATTCATTTTTTTCCTATCTAAGCCTTACACATGCACAATTCAATAAATGTTGCCATGTTGAAGAAGCTGTTAATAGAGTATCACATAACGATGAAAATGATTTAAGGAAAAAGAAATGATGCTTTTGCTGCAATATATCAGGGGGCAAACAGAAACTTGTGCAAAAATGAATTCAAACATCAAAATTCACATGCCAGAATTAGCTTCATATAGAATTCAACAGCACATCAATCTAAAAGGTCTAAAACTGACATGCCAGCATTAGCTTCATGTCATAATACTTCAATGTTGCACGCATAACTTATAAACATTACCCTCATAAAAAAAAAAAACCCATGTAAAAAGTGATAATATGAGAAGATTGTAAGGCAGTGAACAAACCAAGGAATAAAAACTCGGTTAAATCAATAAGAATTTGTCGCCATTAAAAATATGTAATACTAAATACAACTAGCTCATATATAACCACCAGAAGAATTTGTCTCCAATAAATACAGGCAGATCAATCCAGACAATTTCAATTTGCGTGGGTCAAGTAATCTCTAAATGTACATTTTAACAGTACATGATATCACTTAAAGCCGGCTAATGAAAACATTCCCATAGCAGAGCCCACCCTGAAAATGAGAAATATCAAATATATGGCAACTAGGCCAACTCCAAGCATCCTGCTTGGACGCATGTTATTCCTAGGTAAAACAATGAGTGCCCAAATAATTCCTGAAACGAGAAATCCCAAGGTGAAATACAAGCTTCTATCTTGTGGGAGCACAAAGGGAACAGGTTTCTCAGACCAGGCTCCCAGTAGCATTGAGATGCCCAATCCAATGAGAGTGTTGAACATAGGACCTGCATAACATCCTGACATTGCAATCTGTACGCCATCCCCACCATTCATTGACAAGGCAACGTTTGAAGCCAAATCTCCCATCGAGTTTCCCCATGCCAATACAGTTAACCCAAGGATGGAAGGATTGACACCTAGAACCACACCAAATCCCACAAGTAGAGCAACAAGCTCATTTGCAATCATGTAAAACCAAACGATACTCATCACAAATCCTCCTATAACCCATGGAAGTAAGAATTTCTGAGGTGGACGATCTGGCCTCGTGTACTTATATGTAAGAACACAAAGGGTGCATCCAACTAAGACACCGATGATATATACAACTATTCTGCTTTGAGAACCCACGTTGTCTTGTGAACTCCACAGACAAACAAGAAGAATTGGAGCCAGTAGAGCACTGCCCATAGCATATGGCTTCGACCAAGTTTCCTCCTCCACTAAGGGAATTGTGAGCCTCCTCGGTACAGTCAGTGGCAACTCCAGAAGGGAAAATACCTTTGAACAGAAAAATGATGGCCGCTCAATTTCTCTGTCTTCATCATTCCATCCCCACAAAGACTTGTCACCGTCAGGGATCTTCAGCACCTGGTTTGAATAAATTGCTACATTAGAAGCCCACATCCACTGAGGTAGGGAACCATGGGACTGGGCTCCAACACTTTCGGTCTCAATGTCAAGCAAAGAGCTGAAGAAGGGTTCCTCATCTAGATTTCCATGAGAAAACACGCTTCCTCTTACAGGAAGCAAAGGAGTAACAGCGTCCAGTTTCAACCTCTGGGCTTGTTCTCTCAGAATCTCATTGGCAGCCACCGCAAAGGCGTACAGAACATAAATCGATACAAATGCAACGGCAGCACCAACAGTCACTTCACCGACAATCAAGATCCAAAACAGAGACACGAGGGCGAGCATAAAAAATAGAATATCCCTTATAAAGCACTTCTTGTCAATCTGAATGTCCTTATCTGCTATACATAGGGAAACAGCCCCAACAACAATGCAAGTAACAAACACTGCCCCTCCTAACACGCTATTAAGGCCCATATCTCCTGTGCCAGTACCTAGAAAAGCAGCAATACTTGCAAACACATCTGGAGCGCCATTTCCAAGTGGAAGCAGAGTTACACCAGCAACGGTAGGAGATAGCTTCAGAAGAGTCGAAAGCTTTTCCAAAGAACAACAAAAGTAATCAGCCGCAGTGTTGCCTAAAAGATAGAACAATGCAGCAAGCCAAGCCCCCAACACCAGAAATGCCCATGCGCTTTCACCGCAATCACAATAGTAAAACTTCAAGTAATCAAAAAACCCATCCGATGCACACTGCGGGTGGGCTCTCAGGAAGTCACAGCTACTACTATAGCCATTGTGATCAGACGACATAGCACAAAATTCAGGCTTCTTTACATCCAAATTATTAGGATCGGAGCCATTTACAGTTGAAGAATTTGCACTTAATTCAACCATTTCTCTTCGATTCACAAATTGGCTCCCCAAACCAGAATAAAACCCACTGCCTGAGCTCCATTTAGATACTGAATGCGATTGCTTCGAAAGTGGGTTTCCCACAATATCTTCCCGATTGTAAAACAGGAAAATCAAAACTAGGGCACATAACCCATTGAAAATCCCACGAAGCTGGGGACTTCTACTATAAAATCCATTTAACTGGCTCATTTTTTTCCGATCAATCACCTGAATATCTCTCGTATCAATATTATTACCACAAATACAAATATTCAAAACCTAATTCGAAAATCAAGCTAATCAAAATCAAGCTCAGGGTTTCAATTCACGAGTAAAGAAACCCTAGTTAAGAAAAATGAAAATTCTTCCAAAATTGGACTAACCTCGATTTTGGCACGAATGTAATGAGGAATTTTTAATTGATCAAAGGCTTAAGAGAAAAGATAAATTAGGGTTCACGGGTATTGAAAGGCTGCAGGATAATGAAAATTCATTTTGGAAATTTGACTAAAATTTTGTTTTTATTGCTTTTTCTTGGTAAGCTTTTTTCTTCTGTAACAATCTCCCCTTTTTTTCCTTTTGCTTTTTTGATCATTTTATATATTATTCTGTCGGGAAAATTGGGACTGATTGTACAATTATTTCTTGCTTTTTAGCATTAATGTTTTCTAATGATTTTTCATGTTATTTTTATTTTCAAACTTTCAATTCCTTAACACATTCTATATTTGATAATAATTTTATGTTCAAAAGTTCATTGAAATGACGTAAAATAACTTATTTTTATCATATATTTAAAAATAATAATAGAAGTGTCAAAATTTCCCCTTCTTTCAACGAAAACAAAATATTTTTATATAAATTATCATCAAAGATGAGACGTACTAATTAATAAAATATTAAATTAGAATTTAATGAACAAATTAAGTAAGTAAGGGTGCGTTTGATTGTAAGAGTGAAAAATGTGTGGAAAGAAAATATTTTACAGGGAAAAGATTTGCTTAGAAAATATTTTGCAGGGAAAATGATTTCAAGTGTGTTTGATTGGTATAATTTTCCACCCGAAAAATTTTTAAATTTTCTATTCGTTTGGCTTTGTTTTACATGAAAATTGTCCATTAAAGTAATATTTTTTTCCACAATTGGTTATAAAATTTGTTTCCATTGC